TATTAATATCACATGCAAGTAAAATTTTGCTGAAGATCATTTAAAAATGGTTGCAGCAGTATATTGACATGGAAATGCCAGAAATTCAAGCTGGATTCAGAAGAGGTCATGGGTTGAGGGATATCAATGTTGATGTCTGAAAGCAAAGAATGACAGAAAGATGTTTACCTGTGTTTTATTGACTATCCAAAGGCCTTTGACTATGTAGCTCATAATAAATTATGGATAACATTACAAAGAATGGGAATTTCAGAACACTTAATTGTGCTCATGAGGAACTTGTCCATAAACCAAGAGGCAGTTATTTGAATAGAAGAAGAAGATATTAATGGTTTAAAATCAGGAAAGGTGTATCCTTTCACCCTACTTATTAATCAGTATGCTGAGCAAATACTCCAAGAAACAAGACTATGTGAAGAAGAAACTGCCATCAGGATGGGGAACTCATGAACAACCTGCAATATATAAATGACACAACTTTGCTTGCTGAAAGTGAAGATGACTTGAAGCACTTACTGATGAAGATCAAAGACTCCAGCCTTCAGTTTGGATTACACCTTAAAATAAAGAAAACAAATATCCTCACAAGTGGACCAATAATCAACATTCTGATAAATGAATAAAAGATTGAAGCTGTCAGGGATTTCATTTTTCTTGGATCCACAATCAATATCCATGGAAGCTGCAGTTAAGAAATCAGATGATGTGTTGCACTGGGCAAAATTTCTGCAAAAGACTCCTTTAAAGTGTTAAAGAGCAAAGATGTCACTTTGAAGACTAAGGTGCACCTGACTCTAGCCATGGTATTCCAATAGCCTCATATGCTGAAGACCTAAGAATTGATCCATTTGAGTTGTGGTGTTGGCAGAGAATACCGAAAATACTGTGCACTGTTAGAAGAACCAACAAATCTGTCCTGGAAGAAGTGCAGCCAGAGTGTTCCTTAGAAGTAAGAATGGTCAGACTTTGTTTCACCTACTTTGGTCATGTTGTCAGAAGAGACCAGTACCTAGAGAAGGATATCATGATTGGTAAAGTAGAGGGCAGGGAAGAAGGGGAAGACCCTCAATGAGATGGATTGACACAGTGACAGTGACAATGGGCTCAAGCATAGCAAAGATTGTGAGGATGGCACAGGACCAGCTAGTGTTTTGTCTGTTGTAGATAGAGTTGCTTTGAGTAAGAACTGAGTGGACAGCCCCTAACATCAACAACAACCCAATGCTACTATTAATTTCAACATCCCTTTTAAGTGAACCACATGTGTTAGAGTATGGCATCTCCTGGGTTATTAGCCCAACCTCTTGTAGATTGCTTAAATTAAGATTATCCTACTTATTTAGTTCTTTCAAGGGAATTTTTACTTTTTGCAAACCTAACTGATGACTCCTATGCTTGGGCTTTGCCCTGCTTGGATGGTTAGAGGATAAGAAGGCAATGCACATTAAGTCTCTTATAATCAAAGTGCACATTGGACTGTGGTTGTTTCTTGTTCAAAATAAGGGATATTTTATGTCAGACCATAATCCAATAGCTGATCAACCTGGAATGAGATGGATGTTCCTTTGAGCACTTTTACCCAACTTTGGTATTCCCCAACGTGAGAATCTGTTCACCACTTATCTGCTATCCTGGTTCAGATTCCAGATGAAGTTGCAGACAGAAAGGATGCTCAGCAAAAATCTTTAGTATGCCTTGCTAAAGTATATAAGACAATATAATAGTTCTAGACTTCCTTTTAGCTCAACAAAGAGGAGTGTATGCTATTGCTAATTCCTCCTGCTGTTCCTGAATAAACATCTCCAGGGAGGTGGAGCAAACATTACAAAGATCCATCAAAAGGCTACTTGGTTGCATTCAATATCCCATATGACTGTGTCTTCTTCACATATACATATATTTCTCTAAATAATATTTTTCTCTCTCCATATATATATCCTTAGCTGATGAAGGAGCTCTGGTGGCATAGCAGGTAAGGCATTTAGCTGCTAACTATAAGGTCAGCAATTCAAACCCACCAGATGCTCTAGAGGAAGATGAGGCAATCTACTTCTGTAAAGATTTACAATCTTGGAAACCCAATGGGGGTTGCTATGAGTTGGAGTCGACTCAATGGCAATGAGTTTGTTTTGTTGTTGTTGTTGTTGTTTTAGCTGGTTACCAAATAGCATTGGTTCTTGGTTTCATTCAATATTGCTGGATTTGTGTTTTAAATTATAATAAAGATAATTATAAAACCCACTGCCATCAAGTTTATTCTGACTCATAGTGACCCTTCAGGACGGAGTACAACTGTCTCATGGGCTTTCCAAGCCTGTAAATCTTTAAGGATGCAGACTGCCTCATCATTCTCCCATGGAGCAGCTGGTGGCTTCACACTGCCAACCTTTTGGTTAGCAGCTGCACCATCAGAGATCCGAATGGTTAGGAATGATTAAATGCACTATGAAATGCTTATCTAGCACTTTCACTAAAACTAAAACTGCTCTAGCTATGCATAGAAGCACATATTTTAAAGGAATCTATAGAATTGAACTAAATCAATTTTTTCAATGTTTTTAAATTTATTCAGTTAAATTTTTTATTGTGATTTGGGTGAAAGTTTACAGAGAAAATTCATTTTCCATACAGCAGTTCATACTCATTTTGTTTCATGACATTGACTGCAATTCCCCACAATGTAACAGCTCTCTTCCCACTTCCTCCCCTAGTTACCTGTTCCCTGTGTCCTTCCCTCCCACACACTCTCACCCCTCAAGTTATCTCCCTGTGCAAACACTCTCTCTGTGCAAACACGGCCCTTCTGATCTCCCATGATTGATAGATTGATTGCTCCAAGGAGTGTATCTACCTAATGTGAATGTTCACCCCATATGCCTGTCTGTTGTTTGGCTGGAAGCCACAGGAGTGAGTTCAGTTCCAGACCTGAGAAGTAATGAGGGGCCATAGTCTTAGGAGTTTCACCAGGGTCTATCAGACCAGCAAACCTGGTCTTTTTTTTTTTTTTTAATGATTTTGAGTTTTGTTTCACATTGTCTCCCACTCTATCCAGGATCTCCTGCACTGATCCTCCTCCAAGTGGTTGACAGTGGTAGCCAAGCACCATCCAGTTCTGGTCTTCTGGTCACACAGGCTGAGGATCATATGGTCTACTAGTCTTTTGGACTAATTATTTCCATGTGTCTTTGCTTTTCTCCATTCTTCTTTGTTCTGGGTGAGGTGAGATCCATTGTTGCATCTAGATGGC